CTCTTGCACTCTCGCACTCCAAAAGCATACGGCCGAGCATCGTCCTTCCCCAACGCACCCATCGCCTTCGCACCGCCACGTCGTCTGCGCACATCCACAAGCACATTGCGAGTAGAACGGCGCCTCCTGCCATGCCCGCCTGGTCATCGTCCACCGGCAAGCCGCAGCTGTCGTACGCCGACCGCTTGCGCCACGCCTCCAAGTCTTCCGCCAGCCCCAACCACGACTCGCTCTCCGCCGCTGCGGCTTCTTCCAGCTCCTCCGCCTTCGCACCGTCCTCCTCGCATCCACCCTCGGCCACCGACGCATCCAAGCATAACGCAAGCCTAATCCAACGCCCCGACTCCACTTCAACATCACCGCATACCAAGCAGAGCCCAGGCAACGCCACCACTCCAGCACATGCACATGCACACCCAACCTCCTCGACCGAAGCCACCACCGCGCCAAGCCATGCCTCGACGACAGCTCGAAATGACGCCGCCCCTACCCTCAATGTATGGGAGGCACGCCGCAAACAGATCGCAGAGCGTGAGGCCGAAAAGTCGCGAGAGCGTCAACAGTCGCCAGCACACCAGCGCAACGACCCGCCTTCCTCAAAAGCATCAATAGCGACGGCCGCCTCCAACCCCAACCACGCCGCTACCAAGCACAAGCTTGCCACCGCGCCACTCGCCACCGCCGCTTCCTCCAAAAAGGGCCCAAAGCCTTCGTCGAATCCCACCGCTTCCGACAAGAAGAACACCAAGCCCACAAACCAGTCTGCCACCGCCAACCCCGCCTCGGCGTCAAGTCAGCCGGCTTCGAGCTTGTCTGACACCAAGAATGCATCAGCTTCGGCCTCCTCGTCGTTCATCGCTCCGTCCGCAGCCAAGCCCACTACTTCTCAAGCCTCACAGGCGCTCGAAGTGACGAGAGAGCACTCATCAAAACCTCCCACACGTCATCCGGCCTCGTCCACTCCTTCCGCCCTTGCAAACTCCGCAGACAAGCCGAGCGCACAGCCCAAGGACACCTCCAATCACGGCGACAACAAGGAACATCGCGCCCGTCGCGAGCCCGCGCAATTCAATTCTGCCTCCGAAAAGGGTACGGCTGTACGTGCCCAGTCGGCATCCACCACCTCCTCGCGCCAGCCTGCGCCCACCCCGATGCCTATGCACGACGACATCCCGGGCAGCCCTGCTACGGTAGCCTCGGCCATCGAAGAAGTGCTCAAGAACGGCGGCCCCAACGGCGCACAGACCGAAGACGACGACGCGTGGCTCGCCCGTATCCATCTGCTCAACGGAGGCCAGAACATGCCCAAGTTTGGAGGCATCGGCCCTTACGGCGCCCTCGGCCTCGGCGGCGAGGAGGAGGCACAGGCAGCCAAAAAGGCGGAGCGCGCCGTCGCCGCTGCCTGGGGCGCAGGCAAGAGCGTGTGGAACAAGTCGCAGCAGCACAACGCCCAACATGCCGCACCCGCCAACAAGCAGAGCGCCGCACCGCCCGCCGACACCTCGACGGACCAGCCAGCCACTTCAGCCGAGCTGCGCGACGAGGTTGTGCGTGTGGACGCTGACATGCCGCCTGCCTCGAGCTCTACAGCAGCCCAAGTCGCAGGCGATGCCGCCACGACCAAAGTCGCCGATGCCGGCAAGGCAACTCCCGCAAAGAGCACCAAAGCGTCCGCCACCGCATCGGCGACCAAGCCCGACCCCGCCGCCGGCACCTCGGGCAAGAAGGCCAAGGACGAGGCGACCAAGCCGAGCAAGGCTGCATCACACACCAAGACGCCAGCCGCGAGTGTGCCTTCGTTTGAAGATGTCGACAACTGGCCGAGCCCGCTGGATGCAGGCAAGAAGCCTGTCGTCGACCGTGCCAAGCCCATCACGGCTGCTGCGGCGCCCGCCGACAAGGACGCACGCAATGCCGGCGCCAAGAATGCGACGCCCGCCAAGGCCAAGAGCTTCTACGAGACGCTCGACGAGCTGCAGCTGCGCCTGGCGCCGGGCGCGCATCCCCAGCCCGCCGGCGCGAGCGCAGGCGCAAGAAAGGGAAAGCAGCAGTGGGTGTCGATCCTGCCGGACATCACGCACGCCGCGTCCGGCTCGGCTGCCAAGCCCGCCCGCACGGTTGGTGAGGCCAAGCCGGGCAAGTCGGGAAAGCAGGCACGCAAGGAGGGTCACAAGGCGAGCACCGCGGGCGCGCAGCAGACCAAAGGCGACAAGGACGCCACGGCCAAGGGTAAAGCAGCCAAGCAGCGCCAGGGCGGCGAGGCGCCGAACAGTGCCTCTGCCAAGGGCGGCGCCGCAAAGACGAGCAAGGCGCAAAGCAGCAAGGATGCCGTGGCGCCGCAGCCTACCTCGGCCACTGAGGAGGCGAGCGCCCGCCCACAAGAGGCTGCGCCGGGAGCGGTAGCGGTGGTGGAGCAGCCCGCGGTGTCTGCAGGCGCTGTCGCGGCACAGTCCGAGTCGGGCAGTAAGTCCGCCAGGCCGGCGCGCTCTGTTGCGCGCGCTGCCAACGGTGCGCCTCCCGCACCCACGCTCGCATCGCTGCCCAACGGTGTGCGCGCTCCGCGCAGCGGCGCGTCTTCGGGCACACACACGCCCGCTGGTACGCGCGGCTCGCCACGCGCCTCGGTGTCGTCACCACCGACAGCCTACCCTGCAGCGCCGTTGTTCTTCCCGCCGGCGGCTGCGGGTGCGCCGGTGATGGGCGGATCCTGGCTTCCGTACGCGTCGTTTGCACCGGCGGTGGTGTACGAGTCGACGGCACAGACGGGTGCGCCCGTGCCAGCCGGTGTGCAGGGCCAGTTGCTGGCGCAGGTCGAGTTTTACTTTTCCACGCGCAATCTGCAGGGCGACTTTTTCCTGCGCCAGAAGATGGACGGCCAGGGATGGGTGGGGGTCGATACGATCGCCGAGTTTAGGCGCGTGCAGGCGGTGACGAGCGATGCGGGCGTGCTGCTGGATGCGCTTAGGGCGAGTGCGGTGTTGGATGTGGACGCCGCGGCCAGGAGGGTAAGGAAGAGGTTTGGCTGGCAGGCCTGGGTGCTACCAGAGCAGCAGCAGCAAGTACAGGTGCAGGGGCAGACGCAAGTGCAGGCCGAGGATGAGCCTGCGTTGGGCGTGGTTGCCGCGGACGGGATAGCGTCCAATCCCAGCTCGTAACCAGCAGGCAAGTAGCATTGGCAGCGGCAGCGGCAGCACCAATAGCACCATCACCAGCGTTGGCGGGAGTAGCACCAGTAGCAACGTAGTCGCATCGCAGAAGCAGCTCAATCGCACCAGCAGCAGCACTTTTAGCTCCGACATGCATGGCGAGAAGCAAAGCGCGAGCAGAGTGCTTGGCAGTGAGATTGCGGCGTGCGCGTGGATGCGCCGAAGCCTAAAAGGAGCGTGTTGAGAAAAAAGGAGGGTGTGAAGAAGCGGGCCGTTGGTGTTGTGACGGTTGAGCGGAAGCGAAGCATGGTGTCGTGTCGTCATGCGTAGCGCTTCGGCTCTGAGTGGGTGCAGCGAGATGCGCGAGATGCCCAGCGCGGCGTGTGATGATGTGGCAAAGTCTCAGAAGCTTTGGCTGCTCGCGACCGAGCGAGGATGACGGCTGTGGGCGGGAACCAGACCAGTGTAGCAAGGACAGAGGGCAAATGAGAAAGCGGCCGTCCAGGCGGGATCAAAGCGCGTGTGTCGTTTCATCCAGGCTGTCGTGCCTGATCTCAAGTTGACGAGACGCGGTGCTGGCAATGCACGCTCAGCGGCCGCAACCGTCTCGTCACACTGCCCAACCAGAGGTCAAGCAAACCAAAAGTGTAGTCAGTCCGCACCACTGCGGCTCTGCCGCGTTCTGTGAGCTCACCATCAAAATCCTTGTGGAAACGCTACGTAGCCTGTGTTGAGGCGGTTCGATGATCCCGCACACTCCTCTGGTCCGGCTGTGAATTTGGCATCCCTTACTGACACTCCATGATCCGCACTCGAACATCAAACCTCGCTCCCACACCCATCTGACCGCAAAGGGTGTGACCAAAATGTGGCAAAACAGTCTCATGCTTCAACGAGATCGAGCTTGAAAAGTTTTGCACCGCATTTTGCCATGTCATCCCGCTTGGTGATTCAAAGCCTGCGCAACTCAAACCTCCCCCCGCCCAAACGGGGTCAAGACACTTTACACAAAAAAAGACTCAACAAGCTCGAACTCGAAAGTCAAAAAGTTCAAAGCGCGTGTGCTTGAAGAGCTGGACATGCAGGCTTGCAAGCCGACTGCGCTGATACCGTCCTGAACGCGGTGCTTTGTGTCGAAGGTTCAGGGACGCAGCCTGTCGACATCGAAGTCTTCGTACTTTGCTTGCGTCGGCAGTTGCAGCGCTGGCGGTGTGCTCCGATTGCACAAGTCGGTCTCGCGAGTGGCGCGCCACATCCGTTTACTTTGGACAATGCCTCCCCACACCGCCCTGCCCAGCTTGCGCCAACCTTGACGTCGGGAGAGAAGCTCAAAGTGCCGTGGCGTGCGTCGGCGTGCGTCGGCGTGCGTCGGCGGTGCGCGATGATCAACTCGAAGCCACCTACTCTAGAACCCGCTAAGTTTAGACATCCAGCGCGCGATTCCTCGTCCACTCTTGGTTACGATCTCATCAAAGTGCTCGACCTGCACACCTCCCATACAGCCCAATCCGCTTTCCTGCATATGAGATCGAATCATCTGTGTGAACAAAGTACCGCAGAGGGCCACACAGAGGCCGGGTGTGAGCTTCCATTTGACACAGAGCCTTGATAGGAGGCTCTGCCTTCCAAACCAGCCTCGGTGTCGCGACTCGGTGCCTCTATGAAACTACACCGCTCATCTCTCCTTTTTTTCGATGCGTCACACAAACTTTAGCCTCTCCAAAGCGTCCCAACCTCCATTCACCCCAGCGAGTCTGCTTCCCAACGAAATCCAACTCCAAATCTGCCTCGACTACCGCAAAAGGCTCTCACAGTCGACACATGTGCTTGTCGTACATCCTGTGCGGTATTGCATCAA